CAAAAATTTTCTCCCATTCGATGAGTTTCTTTTCACTTTCTTGGTGGTGTCCTTAGACTCACACATTTTTAATTTTGATGATGTTCGATTTATCTCTTATTTCCTCTTTTTGCTTGTGCCTTTGGTATCATTTAAGATCAGGTATTTTTACCTAATCCAAAGTCATGAAGATTTATGCCTATGTTTTCTTCTAAGAGTTTTCTAGTATTAAGTCTCACATTTAGGTCTTTGATACACGTTGAGGTAATTTTTATATGTAGTGTGAAGTAGGGATCCAGCTTTATTCTTTTGCATATGGATAGCCTGTTGTCTCAGCACCACTTGACGAAAAGATAATTTCTTCCCCCACTGAATTATATTAGCACTGTTTTCAAAAACCAATTAGCTATAAAAGTGAAGAGTATTGCTGGGCCCTCAATTTTGTTCTGACTTCATTCTTTTTAATGCTGTTGTAAGTTGGATTTTTAAATAACATTTGTATTAATGCATTGATACTCTATAGAAGCACATTCAATTTTTGTGTTTTAATCTTGTAGCCTACCAATGTGCTAAACTCATTTAGTATTCGTAGTTTAGTAGTTGCTAAATTCATTTAGTGTCCAGATAAAATATGCACACTGCTTAGATGTGCATAGTTCAGGAAAACAGGCAGTGCTTGAGCGTCCGTGAAGAGCATTGGGACTACATGGAGCACTCGCAACTTTGAGGTGATGACTACAGGCTCCCGGTCGCAATAGACAGTAACAAACTCTGCTTCTTTGTATTCAAGAGATGTTCTGGACTCACGCAGGGAAACTCGGGCTAGGGAATGAAGATAATTTTAAATGCAACAACTCAGAGTCACAGATCCATAGTCTGGGAAAGTAAAAGTTAGGAGCTTTGAGGGTTTAATTGTAATGCTGTTTTGACACAGGTCTTTTACATATTGGAATTCTAATCATTCAGGGATTACCAATATTGTGCTACCTACTGTATTAATAAACAAAAAGGAAACTGGTCTCTATGAGAATCTCTATGTGGTGCCTTCAGACAGAACTTCACCAGGTTTAGAGAGAAAACCCCTGTCTCTACACCTCCATTCCCAGGGCGAGTTCACTCTCTGGCATCAAGTTCCCTGTGGTCAGTTTCCCTGCACAAAGGTCCAAGGGGAGAGGTAGGAGTGGGAGGCAGGGAGTCCAGTTCAGGGTCGGGGATTCCAGGACGAGTAGGGAAGGGGAAGGGGCTGGGTGCAGCCCAGGGGTCTCTCCCTGGTTTCCATAGACAGATACTTGTCGAGGACTCAGGCAGACAGTGTGACAAAGAGACTTGGTGTCGGAAAAGAGGGATCAGGACGAAGTCCCAGGTCCTGGGTGTGGCTCTCAGGGTCTCGGGCCTTATCTGCATCGGGGAGGCGCTGGGTTAGGGATTCCCCACTCCCCTAGTTTCACTTCTCTCAACCTGTGTCGGGTCCTTCTTCCAGGATACTCGTGACGCGTCCCCAGTTCCCACTCTCATTGGGTGTCGGATGTCTAGAGAAGCCAATCAGCGTCGCCGC